TGGTCAAAATAAAATTAATGAACAAATAAATATATTAAATAAATAATTATATTTAGAAAAAAGGTCAGTAGACTATTTTGGGTTGTCTTATAGATATTTTGCTATAGGTTTAAGCTGCATACACTTTATGGAGAGACAGAGAGAGACAGACAGAAAGTGAGAAATCACCCCTCTCCCCAGGGGGATGGCCACACTGCATTCACTCTCCTGACAGGATTTTGGGCATGCAGGCACATGCATCCAGCATGAGTTTTAAGCTTCCGGTTCTAGGACTTGAGCAGCAGTCAAACTATGTAGGAGTCCAGCTATGTAACCATTACACCATCTGTTGGTCCCAAAATCAGTAGGCTATTTTTTAAAGACTGAGTCTCACTTGTTGCAATCCTCTGGCCTGAGCCTTAGCATCAGAAGTAGCTGGGATTCCAGGCATATGCAACCATGCCTAGCCTTTATTTTGGACAGGGAATTCAACTTGGACCTCCCATGTAGTCTCTGCCTACAGAGCAGTGTCTTAGTGGCATGAGCCAGTAGGCCTGGAATCAGTTGACTTTGAGTAAAGCAGATTATCCTCCATATGTGGATAGGCTCTATCCAATTGGTTAAAGGCCTTAACATAAAAGACTTAGGACTCCCTAAGAGGAAACAATTCTGCTTGTAGACTGCCTTTAGTCTTGGGACTGTAACATCAACTCCTCTTTGAATTTTTAGCCTGTTTGTCAGCCCTGTAGATTTCAGACTTGACAGTCCCCACAGTCACGAGTCAATTCTCTTTTAAAAAAACTTTCATTCTTTCTTTTGCTCTGTCTCTTTTACACACACACAGACATACACACGCATGCATGCGTGCACACACACACACACACACACACACACCCTTTTGGTTCTGTTTCTTAGGAGAACACTGATTAATATATATGGCCTTAAGTATCTTTTGCACTTGACTTCTTAATCTCTCTTATAAACTTGCCACAAGGTGAATATGTGTGTGAGAGAGAGAGAGAGAGTGTGTGTGTATGTGTGTGTGTGTGTGTGTGAGAGAGATAGTACATTTCAGTGGGGTGTGGCCATGTCACATTCCTGTTCCCTTCCATTTCTCCATCCTGTCAGGATTTTGGGCACACACACACATATATATACCTGATATGTTTTTCAAGCAGCTAGGGGTGGAATTTTTTTTTTTTTTTTTTGAGAAGTTTTCGCTATAGGGCACGTGTGCTCGCCAGACAGACAGAGAGAGACAGAGAGACAGAAAGCGAGAAATCAACCCCCCAGGGGGGATGGCCATGCTGCAATCCCTTCTCCTCCATTCTCCTCTCGGGATCTTGGGCACGCACACACACGCACCTGGCGTGAGTTTAAGCCACGGGGTCCGGGACTCGAACCGCGATCGACTACATGGGAATCCAGCGACATAGCCATTACGCTAACTGCTGGTACCGCTAGGGGTGGAATTTGAATTGCAATCCACCATGTGGGACCTGACTCCCTATGCACAAGGCTCGACTGCTGTGCTAGGGGTAGGCCAGACTTCCTAATTTTTATTTCTAAATTTGACTTCTTTGAGCTACAGAATTTTATCTCCAGCTGCCTAATCAATTCTTCCATTTGGGTAACTTATAGCTCTCTCAAATTACACTGTGGATTACTAAGGATTTATTCCAAACTATTGCTTCCACTCCCTCCTAGCTTTCTTTCTTTTCCCTGAGTATTCCCTCTTTCATTAAAGAGTGCCACCAGTTGCCCAGTTACCAAAGCCAAAAATCTAGAGTCATCATTTAGTCTTCCTTTCTTTTACATCTCTCATTCTATCCATCAGCTTTACCTTCAGATATATTTTCACACCTCATCAATCTGGTCATTTCTAGTGGACCACCACAGTAACTTCCTAACTAGTTTATGTGTCTCTACACTTAAATTCTCACCTCCTTTAGGCAATTATTCATATAGGAGAGCAATTCTTTTAAGATTCAAACCAGATCATTTCTTCCTCTTCTCTCCATCCTCTGACTTATCACATCTAGAAGATCTGAAGTCCTGACTATGGCTTTTGGGATCTGATCGCTGGTTCATACTTTGACCTTGCTACCTATCGCTTTCTACTGTACTCACTGGGCTTTAGACACGCTAGTTTCCCTGTGCATCCTTGGACAGGTCCAGCAGGCTCCCAGCTTAGGGCTTTAGCACCTCCATTTTCCTCTGTTTATAAAGATTTCCCCCCAGGTAAGCTCAATGGCTTACTCCCTCATTTCACTCTGGCCTCCAGTCAAGCATTACATTCTGTGATCTTTCCTGACATGCCTACTCTACTTTTTTCTTCTTCAGAGTACAAAGAAGTCTTTCCAAAAAAAACTCTTTTATTTTTCCCTGTGAAGAGGAGTAATGAAATGGGGTGTTAACTCGGGGGTTAGGGCACATGGGAGGATTTTCTAAAATAGAACTACAGAGTGCTTGTATGATGGAAATGATCAGGTAACTAACAAGAAATTGATCATGTTAGAGAAGGAAGCTAATTTCAGGAGTGCAGCTCTTAAAGACAGAGGAGGCAAGAGGAGATGAGAATCCACAGACAAGTGGAGAAGTTGGCTTTTTTAAAAACAGCAGTGAAGACAAGCAATATGGCAGTGCCATGCTTGGGGGTGGGGCTTAAGGGAGTATTGTCTAATGGGTTCTATTTCCTCAAAGTAGAGAGTAGATCATGAGCTAATGGCAAGGTGTGGGGATAGAAGTTTAAGAAAGAGGAATAAAGATGAAACAATCATCTTGGAAACTGGGATAATAAATACACCAGGAATGAACAGGTTTGCCAGGCAGAATTGAGGATGCATTTGAAGTTTGTGGTCTTGACTCTGAAATGTCTTTTTATTTCTGTGTTTTCTCCAACAGTGTATTACTGCTTAAGTGGGGTGAAAAATATGTGGATAGCCCAGTTGAACAAGGAGGCCCTTTACTGAGTCAGTGCAACTGAAAAGTTTAGACTTTCTTTTTTTTTTTTTTTTGGAGAGGTTTTCACTACAGGGCGCACGTGCACTTGCCAGACAGACAGAGAGACATAGAGACAGAAAGCGAGAAATCACCCCCCGGGGGATGGCCACGCCACAATCCCTTCTCCTCTATTCTCCTCTCGGGATCTTGGGCACGCACGCATACGCGCCCGGCGTGAGTTTTAAGCCACCTGGTCTGGGAAGCGAACCGCGGTCAACTACATGGGAGTCTAGCAACATAGCCATTACGCTAACTGCTGGTCCCTGGACTTTCTCTTGAGAGCATAGAGAGCTATGCAATTTTGAACAGGGAGGATTTGAATGTCAGATTTTTCTAGCTCAGTGATGTGTGTGTGTATGCATGTGTGTGTCTGTGTGTGTGTGTGTGAGAAAGGGTGGGTGAGAGAGAGGGAGGGAGAGAGAGGCTGATTATAGGTGGAGCAGCACTTTAATGCAATATGATGATCAAATACCTGCACAGATTTGTTATTGCTTAGGTGACAGCTCAAGAACATAGATGGTCTTAGGGCTGGCAGGTGGCATGTTAGTTAAAGTGGCTGGACCCCCACATGGCTGACCATGGTTCCAGTGCCAAAACTGGCAGCTTGCTTTCTCACTTTCCTTCTCTCTCTGGTCATCTTAAAATGAATAAATAAATAAATAAATAAATAACGACAATGAATAAAATTAAAAATTAAAAAAGAACATAGAGGTTCTTAAAAAAAGAACATAGAAGACCTTTTTCTAGCATTTACTGTATACCATGTTTTGGGGAAACAAGATAAATTAACAGGAGATTGTCCTTTCAAAGCTCTTGTGGATTTAGAAGATTTATAATTGTTATTAGGTATCTAGGGACACAGAAACAAGAAGGACAGTTAACATCGGGTGGGAATCGGGGAAGCCCTCCCAGGGAAGGTGACATTTCAGTTGATGACCCAGCTTCATGAGTCATTATTGTGCAGGTTCAATGAGCTAAGGCATATACAATGGTTACTACAGTACTTGGCTTAAGAGCCAGGAGTGTTGTATGTTCTTTCTCAGTTTCAGCTTTTTCTCTCATTTTTTGTTCTTAGTCCTTAGTCACACGGTTTCCTGAATACCCATGTGCCAGACCTGCCCTCTGCTCTAGGGCTCCCCTAACCATGTGAGGCGCTTACATAAACTATCACCACACAGAGGGAACTGCCAGGTTAGTGTGTGTACGTGGGCGCACACGTTCGGTAGGTGAGAGCCTAAACCAAGCCTTGGACTTTCACCTTGGAGTGAGCTGGAAGGAGCAGGCAGGGTTGCTGCCAGTTCAGAAGAGGTGTGTCTTCTCCCAGCCATTAGGGCCAGCACACCTTTCGCCTGAGTGTGTTTCCGTCTAGCATTACACAAATATATGAGAAAGACATTCATTTATTTATTTATTCAGCAAATATTTGTAAGCCACCTATTAGCGCAAGGTGCCGCTGAGTAAGAAGGTTGAGTAAGAGCAGGGAGACATGAGCGCAGGCGGCTCACCTGGGCACTGCAGGTGTTTTGGTATAGCTGGAGTTAAATATACTCTCGGTTTCCCTTAAAACAAACCAAACAACCGAAGACCTGAGTGGGATAAGGAGGAAGTACCTAAAGGGGAAGTTCTGTGTTGGTAGAATTTGTCACTTCTTTTCAGGATTAGTCAGGATGAGCTAGATAATTTCTTTTTTAAATCCTGGTGATTTCCTTTAGGGAATCGCCGACGTGACTAATCCATTATCTTAAGGCACTGGATCTCGGAATCAGCTTCGGAGTTTTAAAAACTCAGACGCCCAGGTCACACCCCCTACCGGTGACATCAGATGTCTGGGAGTGGGAACCAGGCATCGGTCGTTCTAAAGAGCCTCACGTGGTTACAACTGGCAGCTAAATTCCCAAGCCATTGCTTCGCGTCATAGATCGGTTCTGGTAAAACATCCACATTCTTATTTTGGTTCTGGTTCTAGATATTCTTTAAATCGTTCTAGCTCGTTTTGTCGAGTAGGGGCGGCGGCGAGCAGGCAGAGGCTGCGGTGTCGCCCAATTAGGAGCTCTCACTTTACTAAACCGATTAGCACAGGTTGCCAGGGCCGCACGAGGAGAGGATTTTTGCTTTGTCATTCTGACTCTGGCTGTTTGCCCGCCGGCTCAGCGCAGGGCGTGGCTTCCAGTAGCCACTGGGACCCGGCAACTCTTTCACCTCTGGGAGCCCCAGTCCGCGTTTGCACCCAAGCGGAAGGTGGCGGGACCGGTGAGGAGCAGCTTGCTGCCTTGGTTCGGGCGCTCATGTAAGCTCTGCGTCAGCTCGAGACAAAGCCCTGAGCCCTCGGATGTGAGCACGCTGGGGACGGTTTGCCCGCCGGGCCGAGTGCATTGCGCGGGAGAGGTGCTTTGTGAACCCGGAGGAAGGGGCGAGGTCTTCAGGCCTGTGGGACTAGGGGGTGGGGCTTGCTAAAGCGAGTGAATTCGGCCGGCTGCAGTGTCACCGCTGCGGCGTGGTGGGGAAGACCGGCCCCTGCCGGCTGATGGTTTCCTTCCTCGTTCTTAGCAGAGGCACGTTGCAGAGTAGCTGAGCAAATGGATTTTTGTGCTACTTCTTAGAGCGCGAGTCTGGAAATATAGATGATAATATTGTACAATGAATAGATAGACAGAGTCTTGCCGGCATTAAGAAAGGATAGCTTTATAAGCATGTCTTCCCAGAAATTTGCACACCGTTTTACTCCCCGGAAATCCCGAGGCTGGCAGGGCTGTGATCTCCACGTTGGGCCAGGCGGAAAGCAAGGCTCGGATCCATCAAGTGCCTGCCCAGCGTGGCCAGGCAATTAAATGGGGCAGCTAAGGCGAGCCCCGTGTTTACTCATATCGGGCCACAGCGAAGACGGCGCAGCCGGGTTTTGAATCCCGGCTCTACTGTTATGTAGCTGCTTGAACTTGGACAAGTTACTTAGCTTTTCTGTATCTCAGTTTCCCTAGCTGTCCAATGGGCCTGGTAATAGATCCACTTCTAAAGGGTAGTTGGGAAGATTCTGTGTTAAGATTCTATTGTTATTGCTAAACCGCTGTTCTTATGAGTGGCCTTTAGTTAGTGTAGCTGGAGTATTTTTAATTCTACCATTGGGTTCACCCCTTCCTTAAATTGGACTCCGTCTCATCTAGAGTACTGTACTGTACTGTTCAAATATCTTTTTAAAAAGCACCCCAAGTGGACACATTGATATTTTGCCTCGTGATTTCGAATTTCAAATCCAATTCAAGCTGCATTTTGGCATCCTGTATAGTTGGGGAGTTAAAAGCGCGATCTAATCGGGACATGTTTTGTGAAAGCCGAGAAAATCGTATCATAAGCTTTTTCTTTTATTCCTTCTTCCCCCCGCCCAGCTTTTCTGAATTCTGGATTTACAGGAAAAGTAGGTCGTTTAATTTTAGCGGAACCTTGCAGTGATTTAACTCTGCTCGGAACTCTGGCGTTTCTAGCTAGCCTTGAGGCCATGATTTCAGTTAGAGAGTACCTTGGGTGGGGCCAGAGTCCACGCCTGATAGTGCGTTTTAGTCACCGTCCTAAACAGAGCGAGTCACGCTAACTTGCAGGGGAGTTACCCGAGGCACAGTTAGTGGCTGCGGGGCTGGGGCGGAAGCC